GCTGAGGGGAACAGGGGCGGGTCAGGAGAGGTCTGCCTCGCCATGTGGTCACCTCCCGGGCAGGCGGGAATCGAACCCATGCTGAAGTGGCTTTAGCTTCTTAGTGCAGTGCTTTAACCCGCTGCGCCACCAGGGAGGGCCTCCATTTTTAATTTTTAAGGTAAATTCAGACTGTTTGTCCTAATGGTTGCACCAATTCACTTCCACCAACAGCGTACAGGGTTCCTCTTTTGCATACGTGCCATTTTTAAATGTGTGAAATGACATCTTACTACATTCTTATTGGAAGCAAGTGATGAACATTTTTTCATAAGTCTACTGGCTTCTTGATATCCTCTTTGGTGAACTGTCTGTTCATATCTACTGCCCATTAATTAATTAGGTTTTTTAAAAATTATTGAACTGTATGCATTTTCTGTATATATCTTAGCCATTAACCCCTTATCAGTTATACACACTGTGAATATTTTCTCCCACTCTGTAGGATGTTTATTTAATTACAATATATTTTTTCACTATATAAAGGCTTTTCAGTATGAGATAGTTCCAATTGTTTACTTTTATTTTTAATTCCTTTGCTATAGTGGTTGAGTCACATAGATGTTCTTTTGTTATCATAGCTAGAACCCACTTTTTTTAATAAATAGTTTTACTTTGGACACTTAATTTCCCTTAACCCTAATAGATTATGAGAGATGCGTACTTTGCTCGATATTATGCATATTACAAATACAGTTTATTTTTAAGCTTTCATCTTTATTTACTGTATCTTTTCCTACACAAACATTTAAAATTTTTATGGAGTCTATTATTGAAAATTTTTCTCTTGTGGCTTCTTTGCTTTTAAGCCTTACTTAGAAAAGTTGTCTCTATTCAAGAATTAAAATTAACATCCCTCTATACATTTTTCTCTATTATATCTATGGCTTTAAGATAAAATATTTAGCTTTCTAATTCACTAGGAATAAAACGTGAACACTGTAAAATGCTGTGGCCCTACTTAAGAAAAGATCGTAAGTACAAGAAAGCACCATTTTAACATTAACTTGCCATTACAGGAGCCACACTGTACAAGCAGATGTAATGTAAACAGACATGCTCACATACTGGACACATACTTAGTGAGGTAATTTGTGCTTTTTGCCAGAGCAGCTCGAGGTGTAACAGATTCAGAAGATGGCTACAGGCCACACGTTCTGTGTTACTTCGCCATTCGCCAGTGGGTCTCCTCCCCTCCCCTTCTGAATCTGGGAAGGTATGTCACTAAAAGATGACACCGTTCCCCCCAGCTCCTTTTTAATGCTCACTCTGGGGGCAGCCAGGGTCAAGTATAGGGCCTGACTACCCTGAAATCCCAGGGTTGGCTGGTAGTGTGCTGAACCCCACACAGCTGGCAGCGGAGCAACCCTCAGCTCTGACAAGTCTGCAGGTGACTCCAGCCCAAAGCAACAACTGGACAGCAGCTGCACTTTGAAATTCAGTGAGAATTTGCCTTTCCTGCTTCACTTCACCTGAAAGTATAGTAAAGTGACAGTTGTTTTACGTCACCAGATTTGCGATGAGCTGTTATACAGCAATAAAAACTGGAACAGAAACTTGGTATCTGAAAGTGGACGGCTGCTGTCACAAAAATTCAAAACACATGTCACTGGCCAGGAGGAAAGATCCTAGGAGACTGTTAACAGAAGCTTGGAGGAAGCTGCTGGTGAGGGCTGGAAGGAAACGATAGGGAATATTATTCCCCTATGGAAGGAAGAAGATGCTGGTTATGTAGTAGAGAAACATTTATAAAATTGTCCCGAGGGACAACTGATATATAGAAAATACACCTACTGAATTTTTAAGTCCAGCAGGCCTTACAAGATCTCTGGCCACATATCTGACACAATTCCCTCTCATTGTTTCAAAGAGCTGATTCTTCCAACTGTCTAAAATAAAATGAGAAGTAGAGATTAATTGAAACATGAGCTACTTAGCTTTTAAGCAGAGGTGACAGGATATATAAATGCAGCTGCTACTTGCAAGATTCAAGAAACTGTTCTGTGTCCCCAGTATTCCCAAGAAGGTGAAAGACTTATATATTAAGAAAGAGTCTTAGGACAAAAAGTCAAAACTTGTGAAGCCATTTAAACCCTGTTGGGCCATTTCAGACAAACCGCCAACATTTCTGAATCTGCTATCAGGTGGACACTCCTGGTCCCCTTGAAGCCAGGGGACAGGCAATTTGCTCAGTCAGTGGATGGTGTTAACTACAGGCTGAGAGCATCTGAGCGCTGACACTGGCCCCTCTCCAGCCTGCCCAGCAGCCATGTCAAGAGGACAACATCCGGAGGTGATGGAGCCTCCTCTGGACGGTGCAGTCTTCTCTCAGGATCCTGCCTGTGCAGAGGGTGCGGTGGGAGACCAACAGCTGTTGATGTAAGCGACAGAACTGTGTGTATTCGTTTGCTTTAACCACAGCACAGTATCCAACAAGCTGCTAGTTTTCTCACCTAATAGCTATTCCCTCATGCATTACTATCATTCATGTATTAAAATCAAACTTTTAGTTAAAAATAGATCATTTATTCCTCCAGAAAGTCAAAATATGAAAGGGATATTCAGTAGTGAAAAAAATCATTTGACATTAACGTCTGAACTATAGATTTCCCTATTTCTCAACTTAAAATAGAAATCAGTGCTCATTTTTGGTGATACATTAAGACCTCACCAAATAGTAGCCTGGTGGTCTCAAAATAGTAATGCATTCCCATTTCAAAGAACAGTTTATTTTCATAGTAGACTCAAAGCCGTACTATTGTGATATTTATATTTAAAATCATCTGGTGGGCTAAGGATTCCCATAAATACCTAACTAGCAATTGGACTTAAACAAACATATTGCAGCCAGATACGAGAGCAAAAAATATGCCGTGGATAAGTATGGCTTTGTATATTCTCTGATTTGGGATTCTGAGTATTTTGGGCTTTCCTCTCTCAAAGTTCCATGGCTAGCACTTGCAAAGCAGTCCAGCTGCTGTACTATGGTTGTGATTTATCTATGCATTTGTTGACCAAGATTCCAAGTCTGGTTGAGTTATAGTAACTGGGTTAAGTGGCAGAGCTCAGGTGTCACAGAAGTGTTACAGCTCTTGGGACTGCAGTAATGCTATAATTTCTCATCTTACTGTTCTATTACAGTAGAAGTGTCACAGCTCTTGTACTGCTGAATATATTTATTCTTATTTGGGGCTTCAGAACTGCAGTATGGGGGATCCAGATAGAAGGAGCACTTGAGCTGAATGATCAACGTGCTTTTCCCAGCCCTGACTTATATTTGCAAAAGGAGCAGGGTAGGCCCTCCTTTATGCAAATGAGGCTTTCAATCAGTGTAATTCTGATTGGTGTAAGTATGTCAAGTGGTGATTGGTCAATTTTCAACCCTGGCTGTGGCTTGCTAGTGTGGTTTCATTTTCTTCCTGGCTGTGGATGCATCCCGGTATCCACCAACCTGCCAGGGTGCCTGGGTGTGCTGGCAACTATACTCAAAGCCTTCTGGTGCTGTATGGTTATTACCCAGACTCAGGATGGCTCCCTGTTCATTTTTCTTTCTTTAGTTTATCACAAGATTTGAATGAATAATAAATGCTCATTGAATGAATGATGATGAATCCTGGCTCTTGAGGTGTTACACATTGTTAGGGGTAAAATGCCTCTGAAAGCTACATTCTTCTCTACCTGGAGGGTAAAGTCTCTTGGTCCAATACCCTATATTTACTGAGCATCTCCTATCATGCCAGGTGCCAGGGAGTGCGGTGGTAAAGAAATCATAGAGGACATGCCCTTGGCTTTCCAACCCAGGAGATTACTCCTTTCCCGTCTCAATCCTTTAAGTGCTGCTGGCTATGGCTTTTCTAGAAACAAGTAGTTGTCCAGGACTTACGCATTTTTCTCTCCAGTATACTTACTTTTTATGATAGCTCCAAATTTCCAAGAAGCTTTTATCAGGATGGATATAGACTGGGAGGATATCACTGATATGATGCCAGCCTAACTGGGTGGAAAGTTATCTCCACCAATGAAGAAATTTCTGTCCTAAGTGTGAATTGCTTAAATGTTTTTTATTTTTTCCAAAAACAGACAAATTAAACTCACGACACTGGGGTGGGATCTAGATACAAAAAAGAAAGACAAAAATACCAGACCATTTCACCAAAATCCCTCAAAGATATCTCTATCACCTATTTTATAATGAAACATTTATAATGATATAAATGTTTACATTTATAACAAGACACTGCAGTGAAGTTTCCCACAAGGTTACATATGGGGAGTTCACTGATCCTGTACCAAAACCACCCACAACTGTTCTGGTAAATTACTTCTCTTGGCATAACAGAGAACCTACATAACAGAGAATCTTTTTTGCTAACTCTAGTTTGCCAAAGGTTTTGTTTTTTTTTCATCTGAACATTAAGAATAAACTGACAGGGAATTCCAGAAATGGACATAAATCAGTCAGTCATCACCTCCTCCAAATTCCCAGGCATATGATAGTATTTATATGGTGATGAGAGCAGAGCTACAGCTGCCTGTGATCTGCTTTCTGCAGGAAAAAGGGGCTCTGTAGGGAGATACACACCAGGGAGAGAGGTACCACAATGCCTGGTAGGAGATGCTGCTTGAGAAGATTGTTTTTGGAAATGAAGAAAACCTGAAATTCTCTGATGATGGCTGATGACAGCTGACCCCTGAACAACAGAGGTTCGGACTGCTAGGGCCTACTGATAATGGCTTTTTTTTTCTATTAACGGGTTCTACATCCATGAGTTCAATCAACCCCTGACATTGGTTGAATGGGAACCTGAGGCTGGGGAGGGTCAACTACAAGGGAAGTGAGTATCCATGGGAACCCTGAAACCAGGGCTCACTCCAAGTACTAAGGGAAGATTGTAGTTAAGTTTACAGGGAGTCCAAAATTATATATGGATTTTTGACTGGGGAAGGAGATGGTTAGAGGCCCTACCCCCCATGTTATTCAAGAATTAACTGTACTAAATCAAGTACAGTGAAGTTTTGTCACAGAACCCATGCAATTCCCCTCTTAAAAGATCTCTGGATGTTTACAAACACAAGTTCTACTTATTGCTCCCCTAAGAATTCATTCATGAAAGAACTACAGGAACATTCTTTTAATCTTACTCTCTCAGGTGGGGAGAGTGTAGAGAGAATCTCTGGCATGTTCAAACCTAAGTGCAAACCGATAAATTCTTCCTCAGCTATCAAAATGTCAAATATTTAATAAGCACATCCAGCTAATGTCTTTGAATAAGTATTCAAGGGTTGACAGACTTTGGGGAATGAACAAAAGAATATAATCATGTGAAGATTTGCAGTTGCCCCAGGAGAAATAAGCGAAGCAGAGAATTCTGGTATTCACAAAATCCATATTTACTTTCTCCTGGAGCTCAGTTTTCACAGTGTGACTACATTTCCCAGCTTGCCTGCAGATAGGTAAGGCATGGGCCTGAGGTGTAGTTTGTGTGATCGAACAAAAGTGATGTTTTTCTTCTTCCTGATGCAGGGAGGCCCCCGGTGTGCCCTGACGGGGTCTTCCTTCCCCTGTGTTGACTGGAGGCAGGTGTAGGATAAGACACCAGTGGACGTAAGAGCCACAGGATGGAGAAAGGTAGCCCCCGGTTGACAGAGAGCCCTCGCCGCCCACCTGAACATCTGCCCGGTACTACCTTAGGAATAAGAAGAAAACTCACACTGCACTGAGCAATTGCATGCTCAGGTCTATTTGGTATAGCTGTTTAACCTAACATAACTCATAACGATGACATCTAAGCAGCTCAATTTATGATATGCAAATTCCAAAGATAAGAAATAATTTAGATGCCATCACAAAAATCACTCAGTTCCTTCCCACAGAAATATTAGTTAGATATTGGAATGATTTTATAAAAATTTTCCCTTGATTTCCATTTTCCTGCACAGAAAACAGTAGGAGTATAGGTGATCTTAATCTTTGTTGCACTTTCATATGTTTTTCTAAACTGTCTATAATAATCACAAAGCTCTTTGCAACTAGAACATAATTAAAATACAACATAGCTCAAGAAAAGACAAATAGATAGTTTCAATAATAAAATAGAAAGTAACAACCCAAGGCAGACAGGAATTTGATCTATGATAAAGATTATATCATAAATCAATACTAGTAAATAGGAACTTTTTCAGAAAGAACATCAGAAGAACTGACTTCCTAAACGAAGCAAAGTTAACTTGCTACTTCTCAAAAGTCACAAAAACAAATTCCAAGTAAGTTAAGATCCAAACTTGGAAAATAAAATCTTAAAACTGAGCACAGAGCTTTCTGTCAGTATAGTTAATGTCTACCTGGGGTCTAGAATAATGTATCTGGCATGTAACAGATACTCAGTCTGTTCAATGAATAACTGAAAGAATAAAACAATCACTTCACGATGCTGGTAAAGGAAGGGCTTTCTTAAGTCAAGACCTTAAAAAACAAGCCATAAGGTAAAAAACTTAACTGTATCAAACATTTTATGGAAAAACAACTATCAATGAAATTAAGAAACTACAGATCGAGGCAAGATGCTTATAAGAACAATTATGAAGTGTTAACAACCAGTAAATAGAAAAAATTCTTTTCTCCTTCACATTTTATCTCCAGAGTAGTCTGGAAAGGGCAACATAATATCCTGATCAGGAATGTAGGCATTAGCCCAGTCTGATCAGGATTGGTTCTGAATCCTGGCTGTGAGTGGAGTTTATTACTTAACCGCTCTGTGCCTCAGTTTCCATAACTGTGAAAGATTAGTTTTTCAACAAATGGTACTGGGAAAG